GCATGTCAACAAAAACAAAATACACGTCTTTGGAAAACTACACACTTGTCTCCCATGGTGACTTTTCATCCCCTTCCTCAGTCATTCAGAGTGAATGTAAACAAATACAGAGCAGATGTTTTCTGCCCAGATACAAATAAACAAATCATAACTTGCTAATAAAGTGGTCTAGCCAGTAAACCAGTGACCCTTCCAAAAGGACTAAAGAGGACAATAGTGTCCACAGAGAACTGTAACAGGCTTGGACTGTCATATTACCATATTGTCCAGAAGCATTTATTTTCATGTAGAATTACTAGTTATGATATAGAATAAAAGGTTTTGGCAGTACAGTCAGTTTCATTTAAAGTAAATTATGTTTATACTATATATAGACTTAAAATTTAAGGTGGGAGAAAATTTTGATTGTTATCAGCAACAAGAGCCTAATAGTATCTCTTTTGTTCACTTATCTTAGAAACAGTAAGAGTTACAGAAATGTTTGTTGAATATGAAATGGGTGTTTCATTTTTGCTACAACTTTTGTTTGAAGTGTTTTTACCCCAATAAATGTTTAATGAGTTATGCTCCTGGTGCATGCAGACATGCACATTTTTCTTCATGTAAAGTGACAGTTACATTTTCTGATTTTGATCAGAATTGGAATATGTCAGCAGACTGCCCAATTTCAAATTTTATGAAAATCCTGTTATCAGTTCTCATTGTTCTGTGCTTACAGATGGATAGATGATTTGGGGGAATTTAATGGGCTGTCTGCAGGGTTGTGAACATGCCTAAAGATACTAGGTGGTTCAAATATGACTGGGACTGATTTTTTTGTAAACAAGCCGCACTGTGCAGCAGCTGTGCGACCTTGAGAGAGTGAAGCCACAACCTCCACCCTCCCTCCTGTTAGGGTTAGAACCTGTTCAGTCCTCTCTGGAAGTTGCTAGAGCGATGAGTGAACAGAANCGCGCAAGTGGCGGCATACCAGTTCTCCCAAACCCAAGAGAGCGTGGAGGAGCCGTTCGGCAGGAAAAGTGATGGCAACGTTCTTCTGGGATTGGCAGGGGGTTATCCATATAGACTTCCTGACAGATGCCAGAACAGTCAATGCAGCTTATTACTCAGACCTCCTGGCAACAGACGTGAAGGAAAAGATCTGATCCAAGCGGAAGACAGGTGGAAAGCTGGTAGCCTTCCTTCAAGACAGTGCACACCACCATAGGGCCAAAACAACAATGGAAACCCTCCGGAAATTGAAATGGAACCTTCTGACACCTCCGCCGTACAGTCCTGATTTGGCCCCAAGTGATTTCTACCTGTTTGGAAGGCTCAAATCAGACTTGCAAGGCATGCGGTTTGTGGACAATGACGCCATCATCCAGAACGTTCGGGAGTGGATACACCGCCAACCACAAAATTTTTTGAAAAGGGCATCAGGATGCTTCCAGAACGTTGGAAAAAATGTGTTGACTCCGGAGGGGAGTATGTTGAAGACTGACATGTGCAAGTAAGTGTTTGGCAATTTTAGTTAAAAAAAAATCAGTCCCAGTCATATTTGAACCACCTTGTACATTCACAGTTGACTTTCTCAAAGTATGGAATAACTAAGTAAAAAGGAACAATAGTAATGTGCCGTAAGTTGGTGCAGAAACATGTCACACTTAAAAAAAATATTATGGAAAGTTAAAAATGCAGTGAAGTGTACCTTGTACTTCTTGCATTTTCTGGAAGTGGGTACGTCATGTCAGAGTGTAAGCAGAAGTTCTGACTACAACAGCAGATCCCTCAAGTTTCTTTCTTTCTTTCTTGAGAAATAGTTGATTTGTGACATTTGCTGTGTCAGAAATCCTTGTTCAGTTGGATTGTTACATTTCAGGGAACACAATGAAGTTGCACAAGTGCTCAGTGGTCTGCGTGTATGGCAGGAGGCAGCTATACCTGGTGGACTTCCAGGATGGATTATGAACTCTGCCTTCAAAAGGAATATGAAGGTTGCGCTCTTGGGTGGGTAAGTTCATGCAACAACTCTCTATTTATAAAATCTTGCATATTATTATATTCTTGCCAGTAGTGTTTGCTTACCAGATAAGGATAACAAATCAAACCTGATTGAGGAGCAAATTAAGAGGAGAGTAAACTCAGAAAATGCTTGCTACCATTCAGTCCAGAACCTTTTGTCTTTTCGTCTGCTGTCCAAAAACCTGAAGATTAGAATATACAAAACTATAATTTTGCCGGTGGTTTTGTAGCAGTGTGAAACTTGGTCTCTGACATCAAGGGAGGAACATAGACTGAGGGTGTTGAGGAGAATACTTTGACCAAAGAGAGATGAAGTAACAGGAGGTTGGAGAAAACTGCATAATGAGGAGCTTCATAACTTGTACTCTTCTCCAAGTATAATTAGAATGATAAAATCAAGGAGGATGAGGTGGGGAGGGCATATAGCACGAATGGGGAAGACGAATGCATATAGGATATTGGTGGGAAAGCCAGAAGGAAAGAGACCACTGGGAACACCATGGGGTAGGTGGCAGACAATATTAAAATGGATCTTAGATAGATGGGATGGATTGAATTGATCTGGTTCAGGATAGGGACCAGTGGAGGGCTCTTATGAACATGGTAATGAACCTCCAGGTTCTATAAAATGCTGGGAAATTCTTGAGTAGCTGCAGTATTGGCGGCTCATCAAGAAAGGTTCAGCTCCATGAGTAAGTAAGTAAGTAAGTAAGTAAGTGTTTGCTTACCATACATGGTCTGTGCAGAAATGTGAACCCAAAGAGACCGCTCGCAAGATAGCACACCATTTTAGATAACATTAACAAGTGTGGCCATTTTTATCATATGTTGGGGTGTATACATTTTTGCTACAATGTGAGCCAATGACACAAAAATGATAAGAGCTACAAGACAATTTGGGAAAAGGACAGGCAAAATGCAGTACAGATGATGCCTGCTACAAATGTGTCAGTACCAAGTCTCACTAGCAGAGATGAAGGTGTAAGCCTGAAACTTTACATGAATAATTTCTCTTCCTTTCCAGATTTATTTGTTGGTCTTCACAAAAGAGCATCATGTGTTCTGTACATATCAGACAAAGTCATAAAGGGATCCTGAGAGCATTTGCACTGTCACTACCATTGGAGTCTGTTAAATTGAATATTTTTCTTTTCATGGCTCTTTTGATTTATCTTATGACAACTTTTCAGTGAAAAGTGGTGATTCTTCTAATGACCACAAAGTCTTGCTCAAAGAAGGAACAACAAGGGTCTGTTCAATTTTAAAACTGATCTAATCTTCCATTTTAGTCATATTCTGAGCTTGAAGAGAAAACAGCTATATTTTCTAAACCTTGAGGCAAATTTATATTAATTTTCCCCACATTATCGCAGATTGTACCTACTGCAGGGCATTTTGCCCAGAGTTAAGATGTATTTCCTTGCCTGGCAAATTGTGTTGTTGTTTTGTCAAGTGCAAATTTTATTCCTAGTTTAGATAGCTTCAAGTGCTGGGCCATACCATAGCTCAAGCGGTTAGTCGCTGGCTTCCCACCGTGCTGGCCCGTGTTCAATCCCGGGTCTGGTCAAAATGGAATTTGTGGTGGACAAAGTGGCACTGGGGAAGGTTTTCTCCGAGTACTTTGGTTTCCCCTGCCAATCTTCATTTCACCAACTGATCCACAGTCACCCTCACCTATCATCTTGGGCTGGTACCATAGGCCAGAAGTGGCCGCAGTACAAGGGACTTAGTCCCACCCCACTAGCAATAAAAAAAATAATAGCTTCAGGTGCTACATATTCCAAAAATGGAATGTTTTAAAACAGTGCTGTAATCTATTCAGTGTCAGTCACATTGCAATTTCTAAGAAAAATGTTGCTCCTCTGGTTGACAGGTTGATGAGAAAGGTTTCTAAAGTTCAGAAAGGACAAAGAATGTGTGATAATGTGGAAAAATTAATACAAATTTGCCTGAAGGTTTTGAAAATAAAGCTGCTTTCTCTTCAAGCTCAGAATATGACAAATCAGCATGGTACTTTCCAAAGATATATAATAAAATCATCACTAATTGTTGCGGGGAAAAACTTGCATAAGACCTGTCTGTACATTTCTTTCATAAACTAAGTTCAAAGATCAAGGTCTGTATTTTAAAATATTGTCAGTGGTGCACCAACTGAAAACCCCGCTTAAGAGGTTTCAGTTATGCTAATGCTAATGCTAATGCTAATGCTAATGCTAATGCTAATGCTAGTGGGGTGGGCCTAGGTCCTTTGTACTGCGGCAACTTCTGGCCTATTGTACCAGCCCCAGATGATAGGTGAGGGTGATTGTGGAGCAGTTGGTAGAATGAAGATTGGCAAGGGAAACTGAAGTACTCGGAGAAAACCTGCCCCAGCGCCACTTTGTCCACCACAAATCCCACTTGACCAGACCCGGGCTCGAACCCGGGCTGCCGCGGTGGGAAGCCAGTGATTAACCACTTGAGCTATGGCACGGCCCTAAGAGGTTTCAGTTGATAAAAGCACAAATTCTGTAACTTATGTAGAGCCAGGATTATAAGCACCCTAGTTAAACAGAACAAGGGACAGTTTAAAGAAAACTTAAAATTTCAGTATGCTGTGTCTCTGCAGTTGATGGGCACAGGAAGGCAAAATTATGTTTATATGACTTCTAAGGAGACTCAGCAAGGTTGCAAATTTTTTTGGGAATAAGAGATAGTTATGAAATATTTGCCCCAAAACTGTGTTGTTTTATGTAGAATGACCCTATTGGCAAATTTTTTGCTGGACATGTTGTTTTGTTTTTAGAGGAAAGCCATGGAGCATGTCATCACAGCTAGAAACTGACAGCAAACCACGGGACATTCCTTACTTGGATGGCTATGCCATGGAGCGATGGGAGTGTGTGCTGCATTACATGGTGGGGTCACAGCAGCAGGAGGGGATATCTGCTGATGCTGTCCGTATCCTTCTGCATGCAGGCCTGATGAAGCGGTCAGTTGAGTGTCATGATCTTCTCCAACAGAAGGACAGAAATTGAAAATTATATTCTAAGGAACAAAGTTTCTTCTTTGGAAACTTAGTAAGTTTTTGCATGCCCATGTCGTTATCGGCATTGTTATTATAGACATGATTGACTGGCATTGGAGAGCAGCCCACCTCAGCACTTTTCATTTCCTTATTTTTAATGTCCACGTGGATGTATTTATATCCTTAAATCCCCTATTCTGGAGAGCTGTAAGTAAAGTTAAATAATTGATGACTTCCTTAGTTTGTTACATAAAAATATGAAATACGAGCACAAAAATGTGAGGTTTTCTTAAGCATCTTGCAAAAAGAACATAGAGCACAGAGTCTCGGCAGGGAATGCTGTGATTGTAAATCATGATGTCAGTATAGCAGAATAACTGTCCAGATAAAGATACAGTAGCTTACACACTATAAACCCAGACAGTTTTCCATAAGATGAGCTAAGTTTACTTGACACATATCACACATATGTCAGTACACTGTTATAAGATTCTTTACAGCTTTTCATGATTAGTGCTTGCTGCTATCTGCGTGTGGTTTGTAAGTATTCTGAGATTGCCCTTTCATGTTTGCCTGTGTTGCCGGAAGTCTGTAAGGAAAATGATCTCTTCTTGTCAGTCTGCTTGCAGAAGGAGTCCATGCCTCTTCCTGAATTTCTTACCCTGCATCAGTGGGTAGTCCTTTAGCAACCATTTAATAACAGCTCTAGTGGGATATTTTCTTTCATTGCAGTAGACAAAGAGAAGGAAGAAAACTTTGCTAATGATGCAAAGCAAAGCAAGAGCCTATGGTGCTGTGGAGTGCTGCACGCCAATTGGAAGCGCTTTTGTTCTTGTGTTTGCAGTGATGAAGAAGATGGGAGCCCAGTGATCACGCGAGAAGGGTTTCAATTTCTGCTGCTGGATACACCATCACAGGTGTGGTACTTCATCCTTCAGTACCTGGACACTGTGGAATCTCGTGGCTTGGACCTGGTGGAGTGCCTTACATTCCTGTTCCAACTCAGTTTCAGCACGATGGGCAAGGTAATGTAGCTGTACATATGATGAATGATCCTCAATATTACCAAATGATTAAAATGTTAGACTTCTAACGCCTCTGGTAGATGGGGGAAGCATTGAGATACCTCTGAGCCAGTAGAGGCCGACCTCACTGGCTGAGTAGGGACTGATGGTAAGCACCAATGCCGGTAGGGTATAGAGGCTGGTAGAAGATTATAGGGGGACGCACAATAGATCAAACTGGTCGTGGTGCATGAGGAAACCCACCCCCTCCAATAACAATAATAACAGCAACAACAACACCCTAGACTTGCATTTAGTAGGTTACTCAGTTTGAATCTTGGCCAGGATACTAGCTATCTGGACTGATCTTTTCATGGTTCTCTTCAGTCCTCCAGGCAAATGCTGGAATAGTACCTCTGTTACACCATGATTACACCCTTCAAAATCTTTTCCATTTTATCTGATATCCCATTATCTCGTACTGTATAGTTGCAGTACTTAAAGCATTGTTAAATAACCTTCAAAAAAGAATTAACTGATTCTATTGTAAAAGAAACCAAAATTTGATATCACTAATATCAGAGTTTTTTTTTTAATTCTGGTGGGGTGGGACTGAGTCCCTTGTACTGTGGCCACTTGTGGCCTATTGTACCAGCCCCAGGCGATAAATGATGATGATTTTGGAGCAATTGGTGGAATGAAGATTGGTAGGGGAAACCAAAGTACTCAGAGAAAACCTGCCCCAGCACCACTTTGTCCACTACAAATCCCACTTGACCAGACCCAGGATCGAACCTGGGCCACCACGGTGGGAAGCCGGCGACTAACCGCTTGAGCTATGGCGTGGCCCAATATCAGAGCTTAGCAGTGAGTGTAATCCTTAGCCAAATCCATCCACCTATGTCACTGTCACTGTGCAGAACAATTCAATTCAATTTTAAAAAGAACATTAACATTAGCTAGGTTGATAGTGTCAGAATACAGTGAATTGAAATGGNAATACTAATACTAAATAGTAATAAGAATATAATAATACAGAAATACAGAACATATTAAATGAAGTGAATAAACAACATTAACATTAGCTAAGTTGATAGTGTCAGAATACAGTGAATTGAAATGACACATAAGAGGGTAAAACCAACATACCTTTATCTGTGAGACCTGTATAACTTGATGAATTGTCTTTGTTTCAGTAGTTTCCTGTTGCCATGTTACTATCTTTCAACATAAAACCAATATTTTGTACAAAATATGTAAACATTTATAATCTCTTGCCACACCATATTTCACATGTTTTAAGGTTCTTTTGTTCATCAGGAGTTTTAAAACAAATGCCAGAAACATACAGATTATAATATCACAATAGTTTTTTAAAGTATTTTGACCTTTTAGCTTACTTTCCTTTCTTAAGTGAAAAAAGCAGCTTTATGGGGTTACCATGCTGTCTATGTGTGAATCCCCTCTTCCACCTTTTGAGTACTGGACTGATTTTAACGGAGTCTCATGTGAGTGTTATGCCATTGGAGACCACCCAAACTTCATACATTGTAATTTCTTACAATGAGTAACAGCAGCGTGGTGGACACAGAGACTTTTGACATGAAAATGACAATTAATGTAGGATTCTGAAATGTATATGGTAATAACATATTTTAAAAATAATCAGCTTTTAATAACCTTTTTTTCATCTCAGAATAAGAGAGCTTCGCTAGTACTACAGAGGGCAGTGACCACGTTTAGTTTAAGGTGAAGTTTAATCTTCAGAAATAGGAGATTTCAAATTTCCTGCTTCTTCAGATCTGACAGTCATATTTTAATTGGGAGTGGAGGTACGAGTATTAGCGTAGAAAGAATGCAGTGCTCTGTCAGCCAGAACACAGTGAGTTGATGGAAACTGATACACGGCCGGTAAAGGTTAAGGTGACTTTGCAGAATGCACAGTTACATGACAGCTACATGAAATCTACAGGGTGTATCATAACCATGTTATGAGGTTCTTCCTGAGGCCATTCTGAGTAGAAAATGTTATACCAACATGGGTACAATTCTCAATGGTTGCACCGCTATGGCTAGTGGAATTTGGTGTGGGCGTGGAAGCACACATTGAAATGCAGGTGTCTGCAGGTCCATGTATGTATGTAAGGGTTGGGCCATAAAAACCAGCCCCTGCACTGCGACCTTCAATGATCTCTTGTGCTTCCCCTTGGATTAATCCTTTATTAATTCTACACTTTTAATAAAGTGTAATACCCTGCTTATGGGGGCATCATACAAGTAATGATGATAGTAACTAATGAACCATTTGAGGTATGCATTCAGATTTGTTACAGATATAAACATACCCACAAATTCTACATGGAATATTGTGTATGTGTTGTCATAAATATTGCAGCAGTGCATTGCTTTTAGGTTTTACAAATTGGACCTAGACAAAATCTATATTTAATACACTGGTGTTGGAAACTATAATCACTGCCTTGAACCATGGCATTACATTGTGGGATGCCAGGTCCATTAACATGGAGAGATAACCATATAAATTTCCATAATAAACATTTATTTCTGCTAGAAGAAGAGTATACAGACAAGCAGGCAGGCAGGCTGAGTGTGCAGTAATCGGTGAGGTGTTCTGGGTCTTGGAAAGGGCTGTAACTCTAAGGCAGGACACACCTGATGAATGCCAGTGAAACTCTAGCCACAGTGGGCTGGCCCATTCATCTTCCTTGTGTCAGCGGCCAGGTGACTGAGCTGGCCAGTTTTCTCTGCATTGGCAGCTGGGCGACTGCAAGCTGGCTGGTCTTCCTTGTGATGATGGCCAGGTGACTGTGAGTCAGCCAGTTTTGTCTGCATCAGCAGCTGGGTGACTGCAACCTGGCCAGTCTTCCTTGTGTGGCAGACAGTGTTGCTGTCTGCACTCCAGATAAGCTGTCTCAATGTAGCTGCAACTGCAGTATGTCGGAGGTCCACATTTTTATACGCTGTTGCTAGCAGGGCCTGACCCATTCGGCATTGTAGTTGCCATGGCCCACGCTGATTGGCTAGTGCTTGCTTCAATATTGGAAGCTTCCACAACATTTTGACAGATTTCCAGTGGTGGTTATTGTGCCATTCTGCCCCAGATACATGCAGTACATTGGTCATTACCTGTGTATGTTGTAGATAACCATGGAGATATTCTTGTTTTTATTTTGCTGCAGACAGATGGTGTTGAACTACCAGAAATTTAATTCTGAATTCATGCATCTAAAAGGCTGTTCTTCTCTTTGCAAAATGGCCTCACTGCAGTTATTGTGCAAGCATCATGTGTGTCTATCTGAATGTGTTGATAAGTTCTTCAAAGAAAGAGTGACCCATTTTGAGAGTGAACTGAGTAAATGGAGAGATGGTTATCAAGTTTAAGGGCTGCATCTGCACTGCACTGCACTGCAGGTCATAGCTGTCTGTTTACATGTATCTAGTCTCTCTTTTACTCTTTACAACATTTTTCTCTTGCCAGCAGTACTGATAGCCACTGCCAACCTGACTAATCCATTTATGCAATTACGTTCACCACTTATTTTGCTTGGAGATTTTAATGCATGCAGTTTCCTTTGGGAATCAGGCCTTGCTGATGGAAAATGTGGAATAGTTTCCATTGTATGTGCTGGGTTTAATCAAATGCTTCTGAACCCAAGGATATGTGCCTATGTAAGGGATCAGGAATACAAAATCTTGTTGGTACTCCTTGTTGACTAATCTACTGAAACTATTTCAAAGAACTACAGGAATAAAACTTTGTAAAACAGAAGTTCTTTGATGTCTTTATGCAGCAGACTTTGAAGCAGGAAGCTAGAAAATGTAGAAATTATGTTTCTGAGAGAAACTGAGGGATACACTCTTCTCAACCGGAAAATAAAGGAAGAGACCATATAAGAATAATTGATTTCAGTACATATTAGAGAGGAGATTACGTTCATATGGTCATATTTAAATGCCTTAGTGGCCTAGTAGAATGATTAATGATTTGTTAGAGTTACTGCAGTGTGTTAATCTCCTGAAAACAGAAATAGGACTTCTCTCTCAGCGTGACTCATTGAGCTGTGATAGCCCATTTGACATGGTGATGGCTATGGGCTGGATGGTTGGAGTTCTGTCCCCAGTAGGAACAGGAGTTTTGGAGTCTAATATTTCAGACTTCACTTTGATCAAAATACAATATTATATATTGATATGACTTGCAATTTGTATGTGGGGTTATTGTCTTACAGGATTATAGCACAGAAGGAATGAGTGACGGACTTCTGGTATTCTTGCAACATCTTAGAGAATTTGGACTTGTCTATCAACGCAAGGTGAGGTAAAGTATTTAACTGTTAACTTAGGCCATGCCATAGCTCAAGCGGTTAGTCGCTGGCTTCCCATCGCGGTGGCCCGGGTTCGACCCCGGGTCTGGGCAAGTGCGATTTGTGGTGGACAAAGTGGCACTGGGGCACGTTTTCTCTGAGTACTTCGGTTTCCCCTGCCAATCTTCATCCCACCAATTGCTCCACAATCACCCTCACCTATCATCTGGGGCTGGTACAATAGGCCAGAAGTGGCCGCAGTACAAGGGACTTAGTCCCACCCCACTAGCAATGAAAAAAATAAATAACTGTTAACTTCAAGTTTCCACATTTGGTACTGTATCTGTTTGAGGACCAGGCACTTAATGCATCTTGTGATTGGGTGTGTTCAGTGTCATTGTTCAATACTTACTGGGAATCATTATGAAACAGTATTTCAGCAGTCATATGTCATACTGATGATGCAACAATTTTTATATGTAGGTTTTGTATTTGTCATTAATTTGATGACACTGGCAGTAACTCAGACTGTACAGCATATAAAAGCATATCAATCATGGATTCATGTTACACAAAAACAAATCCAGTCATCTTAATATATCCTGTTGCCTTCTGATATGAGTTGTGTATTCATAATTCTTGCTACAGATAATTTTGTTTTGAATTTGCTGTGTTGATGTGTATGAAGATGAGTACCTGAGCAAAGTGTGTCTGGGAGCTGTTGTCGAAATGATACTCCCAAAATAAAATATAGTATGCACCAAAATTTTCAGTACTGAAAGTGGCACATCTCGAACGTGCTTGTGTGTTTGTTGACAGGGCATGGCTCCAGCCACACGTGTTCCCAGTGGTGAAAAGGAAGTTGTGTTGTGCAGTTGCTGTTGGAAATGGGTCTCTCGACAGAGGACAAAGTATTCATAGTTGAGTATTATTTCCGCTCATACGGAAGTGGTCACCAGACAACTCGCTTCTATGGTTTTGAGTGGCCAGATGTTATTGTCCAGAAACCACTACATAGTACACATGTGATGATATGGTGTGCTGTCTCAGCACGCGATATATTAGGCCCCTATTTCATTGAGGATGCGGAAGGAAGTGCTCTTACCGTCACCCAAGAATGCTACAGGGACATGGTGATCGGTCCATTTCTTCAGGATTTGAGAAGGTTCTGTCATGCAAGGGGCCTTCACATGAATAGACAGTGGTATCAACAGGATGTCTTTTCTTTTCAGTACTGTGTTTTTTGGTGCATACTGTACTTTGATGTTGTTTGTAACTAACAATTTCTTCTCATTTATTACATTCAGTGAATACTTTTAACTTAAATACTGATATTCTTTATGACAGCCTAAGTGTTACATAAATTATGTTTGCCTGCCCTGTGTTCAACTGTTCTTATTTATTACCTACAGAGAAAGGCTGGCCGCTTTTATCCAACAAGGTTAGCCCTTAACATTGCATCAGGGCAGAACAAATCACAGGTGGACATGAACAGAGAAGGTTACATTGTGGTAGAGACAAACTACAGGGTGTATGCATACACAGATTCCAACCTACAGGTGGCTCTCTTAGGCCTGTTTTGTGAACTCATGTACAGGTAAGTCACATTCCTAACAAATTTCATCCTTGTAAGGATAATAATATGGATTGTAGGATCCGTTCATTCTTTGCATAGAAATAAGTCTGTGTATTTGTATTCTGTAAATAAGACAAGCTTGTTGGAACTAAAGAATAGAGCTTGCTTTCTTCTCTCATTAATGTAACATCAAATAACAAGAAAAGATGAACAAATAACTTCACAAAGTCTAAGAATAATAAGTAATATGTTGAATGTAAGATTTGAAATTTCTTCTGTTTTTCCTGACTTCTATGTGCCATTTTTCTTTTCCAATAATATATATCTTTTAGGGCACAACTGCAGTCCAACAGAATGCCTGTTAAGTTCATTTGCTGCACCCGTTTGTATACAAGTCTTGGACTCTCAGGTTCATGAGCAGATTGTGTTTTTATCTGGAAGAATCCCAAAACATGGGGGCCGGGGATGTTGTAGTGAGGATGATACTGACAGTGACAGACTAACCAAACCTGCAACTATCTAGATGATGCCATAAATAGCTCTCAGTGGCTTACACCATCATGGCTAACTGCCTTGAGTCTCCAAACAGAAAACTGTACTGTGAATTCTACAGTATCTGCAGTAATGGAAGGAAAAAGTATGGTTAAAAATAACAGATAATCCAGAAATCTTTAAATTCCCACTATCCATTCTGTATTCAGCCCTGAAAACCATTTAGCTCTTACTTACTGGTTTGCCATTGGTCACCAACAGGACAAATATCTTTCCANTATAGGATTCTGATGATGGTGTATAACACACTGATATATTGGGTTTTTGGACCTTATCCATCGTCCTGGTTTTTAAGATAACTAATAAAAACGCCACGTTTCGGAAACTGGATCTGTTTCCGTCCTCACGTGAAGGAAAACACCTATTCTGTTGGGTCCGTTAGAAAGAGCTAGACTCAATCACTGGACAAACTGATGTCACAAAACATGAAGATTATAAACACCTGAGACCAGGCTAAGTCCATGAGAGCTAATGAGAAAAATATTCATAACAAATTGTTGCAAGCACATACAAGCGTGGAACCAGGATAGACGATAAACGTCGTGTTTTTATTGGTTATCTTAAAAACCAGGACGATGGATAAGGTCCAAAAACCCAATATATCAGTGTGTTATACACCATCATCAGAATCCTATAGTAACTAAAACAATCCTTGTTCGGTGGTGCAGGGTGGTGCACAGAATCATCCTGGATAAAAAGTCTTGCCCTGGTACTGAATCACAACATACTGGTACAAATTTGCATCTGTACACAAGCATCAGGGTATGGGGATCTATCCTCAGTAGAGTACACATTTAGGGTGGTTATCATTCTGCCATACGGCTTTCAAATAATCACTGTGTGTGTCCATGACCACAGGGTACAGTGTGTCCTCTATGATGTCCCAACACAGTTGGACACGATGGCCCTGTCAGTGATGCCATATTTTTTGGTAACAGTTTTCCCTTCATCACCAAAGAAAGAATTTGTAGAACTTAATGTTCATGCTATTGGAGGCCAGATCCTCCCACTTTCATGATGATCAGGATACCAGATGGAAGTCACATTTGCACCAAAAGTCATGGAGAAAGTCCAAGATACTGTTTGTTGTGTGTTACATGGTAGCATCTTACATGAACCATTATTTGTTTATCAGCAAGCCAGTTGCAGCAAGTTGAGGCATATGTCAGCATTAGTGTTCTTGGCAGTATGCACATTTGTGCCGGAGGACACTTTCGCTTTAAATTTGAACCATTGTGTTGAAACTGTCAAGTAATCAGTGGATAGTTTTATTAATCTGGCCCAAATAAACAAATTGAATTCAGCAAAAGAATTACAAAACATTGTTAAAAGTATAAAGTGTTCATTGCTATATTATACTGTTATTGTTTAATTGAGATATGTAAACAAACAGTGGTGGTATGTATTTTTTCTAGTCTGGTGCAATTAGAATTTAAACCTACTGCTTTTAATTCTGTCTATATGCCAAATGAGGGTTTAAATGTTCCATACTTGAAAGGTTGTATGTTTGGCAGCATGGCTTACCTGCTAATTTCTGTTCTTCATGAGTGAAATGGGAACTACTAACAACACAGCATTCTCATGTCTGAACTCATAAGACAGAAGGCTAGCTCTAAATGCATCTCTGGAAACGAGGAGAAAGTTATTCAGGATAATTTAGTTTTTTCTCTACAGAAGCACATGGCGTGGGGTTGCACCGTTCATCACTTATGACATGATCTGTTCCATTCTCCTGTAGACTAAAAAAATGTTTCATTCTTTTGAGCATAGTGAGTCACATGTATGGGTCTTCGTGATGGGATGATGCACAGAGAGGTGAAGCAGATCAATTTGCTGCCTGTCTTTAAGTAGAGAATGTTGTGCTGTAAGAGTCGTATCACACTTACAAGTACAGGAATTGAGAGTTGCCTCCAACACATTTCTGCTTCCCTTTATCTTCATCTCTTGATCCTTTTCACATGACATGGAATTTGCACAGAAAAAAATTTTGGTGAGCATCCTGTGGAATGTCACAAGATAGGCACCTGTTTTGCTTTAGTATGAGTAGAGCTCAAAGGAGCTGAATGCTTCAGTTTGAACAGGGTCTTCATGTAAAGTGCTTACTAGTGAGCTAAAATAATGCTGCCAGCTATACCAAGCCAAGCAGTTACTTTGACACCTTTTAAGGAACTTGTAAGTGCACAGAACATTTGCATAATTTTTAACACAAGCTNAACTGTTTTGGAAGAGACTGTGGACCAGTCGTCTTGACAGATTACACATGAATGAATGCTGCAAAAAGCGCTCATGTGTATAGTGACTTTCATGCATTAAGCTGGCACCACATATTTATTCATTCATGCCACACTGTACTTGCTGATTCATTTAATGCCAGTATTAGTAAATCTGCAGTAATAGTTTCTCCTAGCATGTGAACATGTGGTCATAATACTGACACGTGTTTATATAGGCTTTGTGTTTTATCAGTAATAAGATGCATATTATATGTTTGTTGTTATATAAGTTTTCAAAAACGAAGATTAAGTACTCGAAATACATTTGCGCCATGTTTGACAGTTACTACAAGCAATGATTTTCATTGTGTTCACAGTATTCAGAGTAAGTTTGTTCACTGTTATTGAAACATCACAAGATTTTTGCTTCTGTGTATTGTCTTTGAATCTGAGAGTGTGATTTCTTGTAAACACAGTAAGGTAACTGCAGATGTTCAAAAATTTGATTTGGAACCATTCGTTCATTTCCAGGTTCTAAACTCTCTATAATGAGTATTTGTTATAGCTCCAGTTTTTCGCTCTCTGCAATAGACTTCCGCTTTAGTATGAATTCTGTCACATTGTACATTTATTATACAAATGAAAATTAATGTTATTTGTGCCAGGTTTCCAAACCTTGCTGTGGGAATATTGACTCGAGAGTCAGTGCGCCAGGCCCTGAAGAGTGGTATCACCGCAGAACAAATTGTGGGCTTTCTTCGTTTACATGCACATCGTCGCATGTTGGCTGTAGGTCCTCCAGTTCTTCCACCAACAATTGTAGACCAAATCAAACTCTGGGAAAATGAACGCAACCGTTTCACTTTCTCCGAAGGAATTTTATATTGCCAGTTTCTTTCTCAAGCCGATTTTGAAGTACTGAGAGACCATGCTCAAGAATTAGGTGTACTGACATGGCAGAACCCTCAGCGCAGGACCATGGTAGTAACACGTACAAGTCATGAAGAAGTCAAAAGATTCTGGAAGCGATATTCCAAAGGAGGAGGATGAAGCTGCTGTCTGTCTGTGAGATTGTTTTTGACAGTGGATTTTGCGGAGTGCCTAATTAATTAATTGCAAGGAGGAAATGCACTTAATTTTAAGGAAATGATGGTAAGTTTCTGTGATCTCATTCTCTTTGATTCATTGGCCTAGAGCTACATCAGTCTTTAGAAATATGATGTAATACCAGAATTAGATTTTATGTGGTGTATTATCTCAAAGTTGCCAGTAAACTTTGTTTCATTCAAAGCAATTATTTATTTGTGGTCTGTGAATAAAGATTTTAGTGCAATTATAAATTGGTTCTCAATTATTGACTGTGTTAGACTGACAGCACAACAGAAAACAAACTGCTGGATAACATTTGTGAAAACTTCCAGATATAAGTTTGTATTTACATTTATATTTTTTGTCTTTTACTATTTGTGGCTTCTACCAAGCTTACAGAGATGAATGAAAATTCTCTGGAAGTCAGAGTAGCAGTTGGTTTACAGTACATTTTGATTTCTACAAATTAACAGTTTATGCTATTCTAGGTTCAATGTTATGTTTCTGCTTATAGTATATCATGCCACCAAGTATGTTTAGTTAATTATTTAAATGTTTTCATGATGACTGAGAGAATATTAATATTCTGTCTTTTTAAACATACTTCCTTACACAGTGAAAGTCCTACTTAATGATCTGTGGGATAATGACTTCAAGGTTTTCACATTTCTAGCAGAGAGAAAATGTGAATATCAATTGTTATTTTAACCACAGTCGCAGTAAATTTAAGTACGACATCAAAATTTTCTTACCCTAAATGTGTGTTCTTTACTAAATTGAAATTCATGAGAAAGTAATACATAGTTTATAGAGGGGATTGTCAGGGACTAGAAACATATTCATTGAATGTGAAACTGAATCGGATTTTGCAATATTGCACTGTGTTTAAAATAACTACTGTATGATGTTAAATATGTGCATGTATGGGCAAAAGACAATGTAAGGCAAGCTTTAAACACTGGTATATCTGATAGTGGACTCAAAACCAAATATATGTGAAGTTTTTGTGCTTCTTTCATAATCTGTATGTAAAAGGTTAACACTTGCCATTCTGTCATTACTTGTGTTAATTAGTAGTTAATAGGAAAAGTAGACGGCAGTAATAAATGGCAGAGGAATATATGTGTAGTTAGTATTGCTGTGTCCATCTTTGCTAAAGGAAGGTCACAAGGTACCTTTAGGTAGTAGCACCACTTTGATACTGAGAACTTCACATTAAAATTACTTCAAAGTGATGAAATAAAATTCTTTTGAGTTTTTCTTTCTTCTGGTGTTAATTATAATCCATAATTTATCACATTTTGTTCACAATGATTAATTAAAATGTGGAAGGTTTGACTGGAACACACTGTATATCTCCATATCCAGATAACTGTTTGTCTGAACCAGTTCTTGTTCTGTCTTGTTCCTGAATCTCCTCTTTGAAGCCATATCTTGCATTCAGAAGGAGGCGAACAAATTGTATTACAGAGTCACTGTAAATGTAACTGTGGTCTGGAGATAGCCTCAGCAAGGGCCAATTGCCTGCCCCAGTGGGGAGAGGGTGACAAAGGTTCTTGAACATTGGTTATGACTTGTTATATGAAATGGTGCCACTCAGTGTAAGATAGAAAGATAGGTAATTACAATACACAAAATTAACATACAAATTCGTAAAATTAGAAAAATAATGGGATGAGAGCATTTATGCAATCATTTTTACCAATCCTAATACTGATTACTGATCACAAAACAAAAACACTGGTAGTATACAATATATTTTTGTGGTTTCCTCTCAAATAGTGGAATTTAGAAATGGTTCCTCTTTGTACTAAACTATTGTAGAAATGTGGCTAGCAAGTGGCATGAGTTGTAAGATTGTTTTGCAGTCCCTGCTTCTAAGAATGACAAACAAAATCACCTGTTATACACATAAGAAAAGATGTGCACATAGTGAGAACCGCAGCACCAATAAATCTCTGACCTCTCTCAAACCCAGCACTGTTCCTCAATACAGAGTGACTAGTATGACATATTAGGCATACTGTTACCATATACATTTCTGTTATAAAAGTTGTGGCACAGATTTCCTGTAGTCACCAACAGAAAGCTAAAACATCCTGAATGTAGTTGAGGTAAATCCACAGGAACACGAAAGTGCATATGCAAAGGCAGTTTCAAAATTCACACACAGGTAAAAGTGGAGAAGCTGTGGGAAGACAAAGATAGATGAGGAGATGTTTGTGTATGGACAACATGAAGTGCAAACATCTAAGGAAGTGAAAGCTGAAAATGTGACATAGTCCTGAAAATGAACTAGGCTAAACTAACATAGCTTAAATAAATTTAATGTTTGTCTAATCATACCAGATTCTAGCAAAATCAGTTCTGTTATGTGTAGCAAATTTACTTCTGGGTGGCTGAATGAACAGGCTAATAGATGGCTTACAAAATGCAGCAAGAAGTTACTTCACTGGGGTTGAAGCATCAGGGGCATAATGCTGATGACTCACCTTCATTTAGTGCAGATGTTAAAAATGGTGGAGCTGTACCTATTAGGGCCCACCCAGCCTCCTATTCAGTGGGTACCAGGGCTCTTTCCTTGGGGGTAAAGATACTGGAGCGTAAATCTAACCACTCACCTCCAACTTGTGCCGAGGTCAAGAATACATAGATCCATACATCTTTGTGGTGTAATTAATTAAGCACAGGGACAACTTTACCTTTACCTTATTGGAAGGTTGCAGTGGAATAGTGAACTGGGAAATTTTACCAGGAAATAGAGTATTTAAGTGGCACAATTTCTCTGATGTAAATTTATTTACAAAATGCTTTCAAAATTTGCTCTGTTGATCTTTCTTTGTTAGCTGAGATAGAAAAGGCACTACACAATAAAATAGTACAGTCAGTTCATATGTTTAGTAGCATTATTCCGATGTCATAGTTCTGTTGTTGTGACACCCCAGTACTGTTGCATTCGACCATCTTGTTCCAAAGAGTCTTGGTTTCCCCCCCTTTCCTGTATCACAGAGAAATTATACTCAAGGTTATATGGTATAAGCCTCTGTAAACTACCAAAATAAGCTGCATTTGGTCCACCATTTAAAATATGTCGCCCTGAGCCAAATCTCACTGATGTCTGCCCAATTGGATTAAAAGAACGAGCACTACCAAAATGGCGGGATAGAAATGGAACTGCTGGCATAGCTGCTGAGTCTGATAGGTGTGGGCTGCTCCGAGAGAGGGCTTTCACCCGATGTTTGAGCGGTACTGATGGCTCATGCCACAGAGGGTCCAGTGGAACACCTGCCCGAGGAACTGCACGTCGACCAAATCCTCTGGACAAGGTGTCAAGTTCCTTGTCAAATAGTAGCTGTGTGTTCTGCTCAAGCATGTACTCCCAACACTTAAACTGTTCCTCTGACACTTCTGTCCCTGATCGATCTGAACCTGTTTCCTCCTCTGCATCTGCAAGATGTCCATTGCTGTATGAGTCTACTTTGCTGCGAATTGCCTTAAACACACCGCCGTTGCTTCGCCTGCTGTCTCTGTAACTACGTCTTTCTATGGCTGGGCCCATTTTTTTGGTTCCATTCTCATGCATGAGTACAGACTGTGTCGATGTCATTAAATTATTCTTGTACAGTGTTGCCATTCTATCCTGTTCCAGCAGGCGGTTCCTTCCCATGCAGTCACTGCTGGCATGATCACTCTGTCCACTTGGAGATGAGCGGTCTGCTTCTGGAGGGTTCTGTACATAGTACCTCTGTCTGTGGGGCCCATCCCCACAACAGCAGTTGCACTGGCACTGTTGCTTAGTCTTTTGGATTGTGTGCCGTAACTCTCGCATCATCTGTTCCACATCTGTGCTGGCCAGGTTACCAAAGTGCACTACCATTATGCTTAGATTCTCCTCACTGCCGTAACTCTGCGCCAGATCCTGAAGTCTCTTTGCAGCCAGGATTGAATTTCTGAAGCCCTGAATCTCCTGTGCAGCCTCCTCTATGCTCACAACTTCCCAAAACCTGCAAGTACATTCCGCATGTTCATTTGTGAAGTTATTGTTGCCAGTTTATGTACCACTTTTCTATTATGGTTGTATTCTACTGTTGTAATAGTAATTTCATAAATGAGAATTTTGTAAGATAAACTCAAAGGTCATTAATAACTGTAAGTAAATTTAGAATTTAGATTGGTCAGAAGACCCTAACACTTCAGGTTTATGTTTTACTAATTCAGATCCAAGCGTATAATCTGAGGAGTAAAAGGAATTTGGGAAGCTGTAGAAACAAAAGCATGAAAGTAATAGGCTGATTGGATTAATAATTGTCAGAATGAGTTTTGCTGTGAATTTGCTACATATTTTATCAAAACCCTGTGTGCCAAAAGCACTGTGGATGTAATATCATTGACAGAGGGATGAATTTTGTTGCTTTGAATATTATTCAGTTTTGCATTATGGATATATATAGAATCTGATAAAATAACATGTGAAAATAACCAAGTGGGTAATGATCATGAGCTAATCTAAAGGACTTTGGAAATGGTTTATTTTCCTTTTACCTCTTATTAGCAATAATCAGAAACTCATCAGTCTCATCCAGGTCAACTTCAGTGACATGAGGATCAGGAATGACTAGTGGGAACATGGCACTGCACCCTAACTGGCTGTGATTTGGATTCTGAAAAGAATAAAAGTGACAGAATTAAAGGTTCATTGGATAGTGAGCTCCTGTACAGCTTAATACAGTGAGACATAGAAGCAATTGTACTTACTGCCTGTGTGGTTTGAGACAAGTTGATTAGACCTGAACGGCGACACAGGACTGCTCGGGCCTCTCCAACACTTGCTACCCTCATTGTGTACTGATGGTGGCACCCAGGAAGAAAACTTGATGGTGAGCCAGTGGGCCTTGTTCGAACGATGTGACATAATGTCCCACACACACCATACTTCTGACCAGTTTCTTTCAGTTCCCTACAAATATTCATGGAAAAAACACAATAACTCTCTAAAGGCTAATTGAACATTTTCCATTGCATGGGGTATTTAACATACACAGTATTTTGAGGCTTGGATCTGTGCCTGTTTTCTGGTGAATGGTTGTTATTATGTTGACAGACATTTCTTGTTCGTATTTGATTTCACTGGTAGCAATGTGGATCTGGCCTGGAATTCTCTGACTGTGAAACTTGTATGCTCACTCTGAGAGTCTAGTGAATACTCTGTAAACCGTTTTCATCCATTCAGAAGAAAAGTATCTCCTACAGCATGTTGGATGCTGTATTTCAAAAGATAATACTTAGAATATATGAGCCTCGGATTTTCAAGATTGAATCATTCTCGGTTTTGATTTGAATGTTAATTTTTCTTTCTCAGTCTTCAGAAAGTTTCTGACTACTGCTTTTAAGTTGCACATCAAGCTCATAGCCTGAATGGAAGAAGAGTCCTTTTTTCCCTTTTCAAATGTTGCAGAACTACAGGTCATCACAAATTTGAATGCTGTGCATATGTTAGATGTTTTAAACAACTGAAGCTTTTAATGTGTTCATGTCACAGCTTTCACTGTTGTGCTGTGGAGGAGCAAGAGAGAAAATGAGAAAGACAGGAATGCTTCAAGGTAGGAGGATACGATGTTGCCTGAGGTACTGCAAGAGTTATGAAAGAAAGCATTAATTCACTGATTTATATTACCACATTGTCACAGATTCTGTTGAGAAAGTATTCATAGGAAATAAAATAATGTATAATGCAGAACAGACAAGCAATTATGAAGAAAATACAGTGTCTCCCAAGGCAACCATCTGACAATGGAAACAACAAAACCTGGAACTTATACCAATTCTGCTCAACAGTTGTAATGTACACAGATTCAGAGATAGAATAGAATGCCATTTTATACTAAATTGGCTGAAATTTTAAGTACACCATCATGTTCTGGCACTGCCGTGACAATAAGGAGGCCCAGTGTAGAACTGCTGTGCCAGTGGGTCAAGCCCATGGCAAAGTTCTGTCCACAAGTGACAGTCAAAGAACTTAATGAAATGGATGGAGAAAAAGATGAGGAAGAAGATGGAAATGTTTTCAGTGAATATGAGAGTGTAAACCATGAATGTAAGCCTGTATATTGGGACTGTGAGGACACTGAAATTGAGACAGATGATAGGAATGGTGAGCAGATCGAGACGGGTGGAGCTGAATAAAAGCTAGTGGCTTCAGGAATAAATTTAATGTCTAAAATATTTTCTAATATTTATTTTCTTTCACATGTTTGTGGTAAGATAATAAAATTACTTTCTCTGTGCAGGCATGTTTCCTAATGTGAGGTCATCTTACATTCAGAATCATTTTCCATTCATGTAAATACGATGGGGTACCCGAAAGAAACCGAACTAATTTTATTGTGGTCAGAGCTTTTGTAGTACCGCGTTTTGCTGCTATGAGCGCATAGAGCTAACATTCCTGAGTCGATAAGCCGACTACCGTTGCTTCAGAAGGTAAGGACTAGTTTCGGCAGAGTTTATAGTGACAACTGTTTTGTGTGATCGTCGTTTTTGCAATGGCCTGAACACATGAAAATGTTGAATAAATTCGTGAAATCATCAAGGAAGATCGATGACGGACCATTGAAGAAATTGTGGAGCTGTCGGGAGTGACTTGGAGCTCAGTTCAGGGAATTTTGAGAGAAGATTTGGGAATGAAAAGGGTGGCTGCGAAATTCGTGCCACGACTGCTGACTGCTGAACAAAAACAAGGTCGCGTGGAAGCATGCTATGCTTTGAAAGAAGAGTCCCGAAATGATCAAAACTTTTTTTCAGTGTTTTGCTGATGTTGCCGAGGTGAAGGGAAAAAATGACGGAGGTGCTGTCAAGCATCTCAAAAGATGAATTTAGACAATGTTTTGAAAAATGGAATAAAAGACTAGACAAGTGTATTAGTGTAAGTGGAGAGTACTTTGAAAGGGATTGAAGGTTTGTGCTTAAAATTTGAATAAATAAGTTTAAAAAAAAAAAGTTCGGTTTCTTTTGGGTACCCCCTCGTACAGTAGTACACTTTGGTGCTCTCTGAAGAAACAGCTGCTGTTATAAATTAATGCAGTAAAAAAACTGTGTACTAGAGAAATCTTTCTCATATATGTTCTCAAAATCTGTGTCCCAAACTGAGAAATTCATGGATAAAACCACATGATCATGTTATGGTGTGCTCATGCCAAACACAGAGACAGAAGCTATACTGCTAGAAGAAATTATTACCTGTGAGCTGAAAGCATTGTATATTTCATGTATTCACTGGCTGTCTCTTTTACTGTTCTTTCTTCCAGCAGCATTCGGGGTACAGCTTTGGTAAGAATGTTAGGAATGTCATTGTTATTCCCTCCGTCAAACATACCGAAGAGACCTTCCATGTTGCAAAAGGCAGGCAGGCGAATCTGAGTGATGTAGAGGCTGCAGAAATGTAATTAAATGAAACAGTACGAACATGATAGGAATGTATCCTGATATTGTAATTTTGAATAAAATGGTAACTTGCATCTGAAAGCTCATCTTTCAAAAATACTGATATATTTGTAATCCACCTACAACAGTAACACATTCATTCATTTATTGGGTCAAGATATAACACACAAATTTGCATAATTTTAGATTATGACACTTGCAGTGCACAGAATAATACAGAACTGATCCTTTTACAGAAGAGTTCCATATAATACATTTCATACTTAAATGTTTTTGTTGCTGAGTTCTGTGGTTTTTATGTATATAACACTGCTCTTCGTGAGGTTATGTATTGGCATGAGATGTGAAGATATTGAATGGTGGTGCTGGAATGGCTCAGGAAATAAAGTACTGGGTTCAATCCCTGGCAGGAGCTGGATCTTTACTTTTTGCCACCACATCAGACTGCCTCCAGAGTTCAATGAACCTTCTGTGCAATGGGTATAAGGGACTCTCATCAGGGGCAATATGACTGGAGTACGAAGCTAATCACTTGCATCTATCTGATGCCACTAGTCAAGAATGCCCGAAGCTTCACCTCTACTACCTCACGTCTTCTTGATTTGGTTGTTAGGCAAAGAAACTTATTTTCAGGAGTAGTAAGAGGTGGTCATGGCTTATTTGGAGATGTTCCAGTAACTGTCTGGAGCGATTGAAACATAGTAGCTGGGACCTTTGTGGAGATTCATAACAGTATACATTTGGGACATTATGGCTAGATCAACTTTAGTGGTGCTTGCTCCAAGGATGCAGGATTCATATGTTTTTCATTGAATTGCACAATTTGTATGTGCTAGAATTTTGCTGGTATTCATTATTTTAATTAAGCTTCCAAAGATGAAATAACAATTTCCTTGCATAAGCTATTCCAGTGCTGCACTTGAGCACCATATTGCAAACCTTTTGTATTAACTGTTCACCTGCTCTTGCCACTCACTCTTGTATATTTTGCCATACTGAACTGACATTCCATAGTAAGTTTTGACTAATTTTTACCTCTTGTGTGCTCCAAAAATGACTGCACAAGGTCAGATTAACCATGATGAAGTACCTCTAGGACCCTGGGGACTTCCATAATAGAATATTTATACCTAAAAGTCATCTTTAATTTAAGCCCTCAGTCCTACCATATTCCATTAGTATTATGATACTCTGTGCAACAGTTAGAAGCAGATGTCTAAAAATATGTGCCTGCCTGTCTGCCTAAACCTGGCACTGTTATTGCATATCGGTCTTCATTAAAGATTGTAGTGGGGCCACTGTCTTGTCCGTGTAAGGGTGATATTAGCAGCCATAGCGGTCCATATGCTCAATTTAATTCATGTAGTGTGCTAAAGCAACTGCTATGATTCATGGTGGCTTCACAACTTTCATCTGAACTACACTCATATTGTCTGGCATAACACAGTGGGTTATAAAAGTTTCTATGTTCAGACATGTTCCATATGTTGTGTATATAATTGAACTATGGCGTGAATTCAAGAAACAGCATAAAACATAATTTCCTAGTACATAGACTGAGCACATGCATAGCTGAGGCTGCGAAAGAGGTTGCCTGCATTCAAGGGTTTGTAGGTGAAATGTTTGGATGGAGGGGTTTGGTCATGTTGTGTAATGATTAATCCATGATATAAACTAGCATGATATCCTGGAATTTTGAATAAGACAGAATATTGATGTTCCCCATCATTTCATATGTGAGGTTGTAGAACAAGACATGTTAATTTGATACAGATGTGAATTTAGGATATGGTAGCAGATGTTTTTATGAAAGGGATAAGTAGTCTAGAACCCAAGAGTTATGTCAAAGGGCTTGAAATACTGTCGTTAAATTAAGGGGGTATGTTAGTAACCATTTTCTATCATGACTATATGCATATTATTGGTGAATGCCTGTAAACAAAAATATTTCCTTCCATCTGGTGATGTTCAGACATTGTCATACATCAGTATATTACATTAAATATAATATGTCAAACTATCACTTTTTATAACACATTTATGATGAATGGTACCAATAAAGGACTAAATGTCTGATTGTAATTAACTTTAGGACAGTTATTATGGTATGCAAAATCCTTTAACACCCCCACAAAAAGCAGCAATAGGAATTAATTACAACAGAATGTGGAGGTCATGACCAGTCACATTGAAAACTGTTGTGTTGGCTGGTCTGTTATTATTTGCATGTGTCACTTTCAGAGGGTTNTGTGTGTGTATATATATATATATATATATATATATATATATATATATAGATTAAAAATGTATTTTTAACACCCCAGGCCAGCTGATAACCTTACTGCCATCTGTGGGTCGATTGTCTAGAAAATGTGGGAGCCTTGATGTCTCACAACCCTATGGGCCTCCAGGGCCTGTTAACAGGAATAGCTTTACCTTTCTTGGCAGCATTTAAACCCCTACTAGCTGTACACTGCAGTGGTATTTAAGTGGAAGCAAACTTCACAGCCTGGCAAGGACATGCTCAAGATACTGGCTTGAGCAGTTAAGGCTCAGTAGTCGAATGTCGGAATGGATAACAACAAAAGAGAGATTGAATATCGTGTATTCATTTTTAAAGGATTATAGCAAACAATTCATTTCCCCTGCTGTTAATTTTTTCTGAACTCATGGTTTGTACCGTTCTCGATGTCCTGCAGTCTCAGAGAATCCCACTTTCCATGGTGGCCCTAGATCTGCTCCTGCTTCATGGTGTGGTGTTGAAGGGAGGCAAGTACGGTTCTGTCCAGAGACGTCCACCAAGCTCATCGGACGATGTGTTCTGAATAACAAACAAATATGTGAAAGTAAAAAGTTCCCAAATAAAATACTGTAATGCATATTAGCTGCATTGTTGTTGTTATTATTCCCATAAACTCCCCCAATTTTTACTGCATTTTTTAGGGTAAGCTGGACTGAGGAAATTAAACCAACCAAGGGAGTACTGATACAAGTCTTGTGCCTAACTATAAATCATCTCCCTCCTGACTTTTTATTTAAGCTGGTGTTGTTTGGATTGGTGGAACTGGTGGCATTAATCTGATATTGTCACTTGTATGAGTGTGAGTTTAGATGGGGTTTACATTGGTAATTGGACTTATTGAACTCTTACAGATCCATGACTACAAGTAATTATAACTGTTTCATGAATTCACACACTTTACAGTTCACTAGAGCACACACTTAAGTCTTCTCAACCTGCTGCATCTTCACCAGTCTTCTGGTAATGGCTTCCAATGGCGGGCATTCCCCTTCCACTGGGTTCCTGAACTGTCCCCGCCCTCAGCTACCAGCTTCTAACAGCAACAGCACACAATAACTGTACTGCACCAGTCTTCTAACTCAATCACTCACTCCTCACTAACTATGCAGCCAACTGACTGACTGCTGAATTGCTGCTGGCCCTCACATACAACATCTCGGCATGGATTGCACAGAAAAGACCATTCCTCTGTTGCACTGCAGTTGTTGCTGTGGAAGCATGCTTGTTGGTAGAGCTGTTACTTAGCAGTGGCTGTTGTATAGTTGCTTATTTTTAATTTGTTGCCTAGCAATCGGTCTTCATGCCACAATATTTATATTGGTATGTTGGTATTGGGTTTGGAACAAGGCAATCTTAGCACATTTAAAAGTATTATCCTGGCAACTGCTTGGAGAGAGACTGATAAATATCATGAGAATTAAGTCTGGCCAAGAACAGAACTGGGTACCTCCCAAATATAAAGCATTATTCCCGCATCCACCTGTCCCTTGATATTACAGAATTTGAAATATATGGTCACATTACCCAGCCCCTAATACTAGAATTATAATGAATGTCTGCTATTAAATTGTATAAACTGTAGTTATACAGCAGTGAAGTATAATGATAAATTCTGATTTGTAATCTCACCTGTACACTTGAAATTGTCGTGGGTCCACATACAACTTGGAATTACAAGACAGATCCAGAAACTGGAGCTGCTGAGGAACTAATGTTGCCAGATTCACTCTGTCCAGGCAATTATGTGCTAGGTCCAGTACCTGTAATCATTTGTCTCGTGTATCGGTGTCTGTTATTTTCTAGCACAATGCAACTTACCCACAACATTTTATACATCTCTACCCATCTTAACAAGATGGATCTGTTTCACAAAAACAGTAGCTGTATATTGAGTGAAATACGTTTTATATAATATTACATATCATAAACTGAATGGTATATGAGGGAAAATTTTTACACAGCAACTTATGATAAGAATAAATTAACAATAAAATAGTATACACCCCCAGATGAATATCATGTAATATTGACAAAGGTGAAAATAAATAGATAGAATGACAAAATTGTTATCTAACAGTATATATCAGATAAAATATATTTTATGTGAAAATTTTGTGGGAGGATTATCTGACTATTCAAGGAATTTCAAAGAAATGTAGAGGCTTTAATATTGTCACTATTATTAGAGCATGCTGTAGGTCTCAAATGGACTCTGTTCCATGGAATTACAGTAAACTCACAGTTATCTGTCATATATGGGGAATGTGGTGTGCTGGCTACATGAATCTGCTAGTTCCATGATAAGAATTGTTACAGAACCTGTACTGTACTGTCTTGTAGACAGTCCTGTACAGTATTAAACACATAGTGAAAGAAAGGCAGTCAAAATGAACTGCACTGTGAATTGATGAGTGAAATATTTTGGATATACTGCCCTGTGAGCTGAAATTCATCTAGTCTCTACTGTAATGGCAACTGTGTGAGGATGACAGGCACCATTGCTGATTGTGGCTATGAGAACTACTTTTGGGTGAACATGTGTACATTGCAACTCTTTTTGTAAGTTTGTTCATAAAAATCGTACATTTTCTTTGAAATTTTTGCTGGTTGCGTGAGAATTCTAGATGCTTGGATACTGGATAGTGGGAAGTTTATTGTAGGTAAAATCAAGGAATTCTGCACAATAGTCATATAGCTTATTTTCCTACTGCACAAACTTGTAGTCCTACAGATTCTGGCTTATTAAAGTTATGTTTAAGAAATGTAAATTTATAATCTGACAAGAAAATACAGTTTACCTCATATTTGTGTGTGGATGGTTGTAGAATCAAATCCTACTGAAGTGAGAATTCATACTATGCTGTAAATATACAGTTTGATTCTTAAACCAGTACCTTTTTGGGACATTCCTCTTTGTTTTATCTAACATCCATATATAAAAAAAAACATATTGAAAGTTATGGTAATGTAACATTAATTTCATTAAAGTGCACCACAAGTATGTGCACAACTCACATGACTTGATATGTGACCCAGGATTGCCAGGCATCCTGGTTCAGGCAGAACTTTCAGATGTAAAATATGTTAACCTCGATAACTCGCTGACATACATTGTCAGTTCTGCTATTAAAGAACATTCCTAAATGTATTTTATTTTGCTATTCCTTTCTGAAACCGCATTCCTTTTTTTTTCTGTTATAAAACAAAAAAATCTTATTTCTTCTCACATTACAAATTTATATTCTGAAAAATTCTGTTCACATTTTCTTCCTTCCTGTTCTGACGTTAAAAGCTCCACATTACTCAAGTAGAAGTTAAATTAATTACAGTTGTCCCTCTTCTTAAGCAATACAGGTAAGATGTCTACCATCATAATCTTAAAATTACAGTAGATGTAGGTGAATGGCCAATGTTATTCTCCAGTGGCTTTAGCCCAAGAACCCATTTTATAAGAGTCTGGGCAGACCAATCTGGATATAATAATGAAGAGAAAATATCTGTGTATACTGGAAATGAAACCGCCTTATGCAGCCCATACCAGTGACTTCACTGACTGAGCAATTCTGAGTCATACATTACACAAGCAATGATTTAATATCAGAAAATATTGTTGAAGTTAATGTCTCTCTGTGTACATGCTGCTTGTAACATGGATTCACATACTCTCATGTTTTCTTATGCCTATGTTATAATGAGCTTTCACTCTAGCGGAATTAAGAGGACTTGCCTATTTATTTAACACATTGAACAGTTAAACAGTTGAACATTCTAAGCTGAATTTCCAGTTCTGCTACATATTTACATACAAAGTGAAGTTTGTTTTCAGTGTGGAATAAATGTAAGAGAAGAGTTATATACCTCAGATGAGTTATCTTACCTTTTACTATATGTGCTGGGACAGTAGAAATTCAAATACTTACGTATGACTGTCTACAGTGCCAGAAGTGTTATGAAAAGTTTTACAGTTCCACATTCTTAGTTAGAGACATGAATATTTTGAAGATGACTGTGTTCTGGAATTTCACACTGTGTAGTGTGGTACATAGATACATTGCTCTTATACTCCAGTAAGTCCCTCTAAGCACTGCTATCTATTTGCCAATCTACATGGCATCACATCCCAAAAGACAATAATTTTGACAGTCACTATGAGGTTATTGGATTTTTTCAATTGACCTAATGCTTCCAACCGCACTGTGGCCCTGGGGTTCACTCAGCCTCTAACAGAAATGAGTACCAGGAATTAATTAAATAATTTTCATGGGGAGTAAAGTGCGGCCAGCGCTTAAGGCTGATGACCTTACCCCCATCTTTGAGCCGATTGTCTAGAAAATGTGGGACCCTCAACAACCCACAACCCTATGGGCCTTCACGGCCTGGTACAGGGATAGCTTTACTTTTACTTTACTACTATGAAAACTTCAAATCTCACATGAATATTTTGTATGGAACATTGCAGCATAGTGGTTAACACGCTTACATCTGAATCTCCTTGCAGAGATAACTGTTCTCAGTTCTTTTTTCATAATTTTTCTCCAACCTTCCAGGGAAATGTTGGGGTCGGGACAGCACTGTACAACAGGTCAACCGTTCAGTGGGTTGCCACATCATAAATTTGTTGTAAGGAATGTTGTTACAAAGGATTTCAAGGCTCACAAGTAGAATGTCACTACATATGTACCTTGAGAGACGACATCTTAGCAAAGCATGGGATGGTTTGCAGCCGGTTAGAATGCACACGCAGAACACGCAGGTGTTTAAGGTGTATAATATTGTCTGGCAAATTCTGCAGTTTGTTACCAGAAAGTACTAGTTCCTCCAATTCAGTCCAAACAGCAACACAACTGTAACAGGCAGAGAAGAGAGAAAGGATGTATACTGAAATGGTTCATACAAATATGACTATCTAACTAACCAGTTCTAAGGAGCAGTCCTTGAATTGTTAACAGTTACTCATTTGTTCACAAGATCCCTTACAATAGAGTTATAAAATTAATGAACTGTATATCATTCACTAAATATACTTATACTGACCTAAATGCATCCAGTACATATTTCCATATTAAATGTTGCCTTGTTAAGGTGGATCAGTATAAAGTATAACCAATAGCACATAACCTTAATTGTGCAATTTTATTTAACAATGCTGTATTGTAAAGTCAGTGTTATTGATCCCGTAGGAGGCAGTCTTATATCATAATGTTACAACTGGAAAGAATACAACAATACTGTGCCAACCACAGGGATTATAAGACAAAGGTCTGACAGGGAACTGCAGTCACCATTAACGCTCATCAGAGTCTTTCTAAATTGCCGTTTTCTTCACTAAACATGAGAAATACCTCAGACCAGCTGAGACAGTAACATGCATAATCCATAAAGACAAGAGGAAGGTAGCGTTTATTTAAACAGCTCCTATATAACAAGGACCAAAAATACAGCTGCTCTGATTTTGACTGTATGGAAGTTCTATCATTGAAAATAGATCTAAAAGTTTGTAAAGATGGTACACTAATTTAAATATTATATTTCTAGACATTATCCATCATTCTTTTTTTTTTAACTCGGCAATGGATGATGTCCAGAAGCATGACATATGTATTCTAACATTATAGTTTTATAGTGCATTGGTTCCCAAACTTGAGCACCTAGAATTCATGTTGCCGTCTATGGAACACCCTGAAGAACTACTTTCTTATGCCCTCATTCAAACCAGGAACAATATTAGTAGCAGAATATATTTAATATTATATCATGGTCTACGCATCTCAATATGAACAACAGCAGCAGCTGCAACAATAACAACAAAAACAGCTGTAACAATAAAGCAGTCATTATCAAATCATACCTAGCATATACTAAAAATAAGTAAATGAAACTTATGTAAGACAAGGGGGGCAAAGTTGCTCGCGTCCGTGACAATCTCTAAGTCATACGTGTCCCCTGGGTAGTGCAAAATGAGCAACAAACCTGGCAAAACTTCCCAAGCAAGAACTTGAGTGCTCTCTATTGGGAAGCAAGAAGCAAAATGGGTTAAATGATCCCAAATGCAGCCACTGGAAACCAACCAACTTATGTAAGACAATGTGAGAAGTTAAGAAAAGTCTGTCCATTTGCTTTAATTTTTGATAAAAAATTGGGAAAAGACCATCATTTATTGATTTCAGGGGCAGAATGCCTCAGTCTAACTCACGGAACATGAGAATTATTCTGGAGTGTAGTTTGGGAACCACTGGAACAGTGCAATAAGACAGTCTGAGAACTGTGAGAAATGACTATGAATAGATTAAGTGCAACATAGCAATTAGCGGCCTCCGTAGTCTAGAGGTAACGTTCCCACCTCATGACTCGTAGTACGCGGGTTCAAATACCCGGCGGAGGTCGTCGAATTTTTAAGGGCGGAAAAATTCAGGGAACAAGTCCTCCGGGAGGGACTTTAAGCCGTGGGTCCTGTGTCATAGCTTTACGGCACGTAAAAGAACCTCATATCTCCAAAGGAGGTCACTGAGCCAAATTAACGGACGTTTCCCGCCCAACAGCAGTCTCTAATACCTCTGGTAGATGGGGAAAGCATTATAGATACCTCTCAGCTAGTAGAGCCAGTCTCGCTGGCTGGGCGGGACTGATGGTAAGCACCAGTACCGGTAGGATATAGAGACTGGTAGAAATCATAGAGGGAAGCACAATGGACCAATACAGGTCTCAGTGCATGGGGAAACCCACCCTCTCCAATAACTAACTAACTAACATAGCAATTGGGTTTTATTTCCATTGCCACTAAATTGGAATAGGACACTGTATGAGTATATATACCTTTCAGGTAATCTTGTTATGGAGTTATATGCTGCATGCAGTGTGTGGAGGTTAGAAAACTTGCCAAGAACATCCAATGAATTGTCAGCAAGGCAGTTGGCAGTGAGGTATAGTTTTTCCAGCTGGTGAGTCTGATGACATCCATTTGGTAGTTCGCACAAACGATTATTTGACAGGTTTAGCACACGCATCCTGCAAAATCCATTTTGTATCATGGAACATAAATGTCAGAACACTTGATAATGTCTAGTTATGAAAGATAAGCAGCACTGACAGCACAAAGGGCCATTCCTAAGCAATGTTACCAAATTGATGTAGATATTTATAAAATCTATGGTTTTGCTTTTATGCGAATTTAATGAACTTCTGAATACAATGCACACTTAAACTTTTCAGACTAGGCTGAAGAACAATTTTTTATGCATCAGTTTAAAACAGTTTCTTAAATAATGTAAAATACTATATTGAGCATATTTTGTATTAATTTTTAATATGCAGGATTATTATTTTCAGCTAACATACAGACAGAACATTTCTTCATAGATATTTTTCACCTACTACCCTAAACACATTTATAATTGTTACAGTAGGAACAGAACAAAGTACCTTGAATTAATTTTAATAAATAATGACATTTTCAGTTCCTAACAAAATTAAATATGTGTGAATATAATGTGCAATTATTTCTCTGGGTGTATTTGAAAGAAAAAAAATATGCATAGTTGATTTAATAGGAAGAAGACAACTTCTTCTGCAGTACTCTGGTAGATGTTTATGGTTGTTTCAGAGGATTGTAGAATGCACTAAAAATTGGGGCAGTGCCTTCCTCGAAATTGTTGTTGAATGTCTACCAGACTTTATAGTGTTTCATCCCAGGAGATAGTCACCACTGTAAAAACCTAAAATCTCACAGTGTAGTAGTAGGTTTGGTACACACATGCTACCATGCTGAATCGCCAGATTTTATCTTCTATCTGTACCCTTATTGAATCTTTTGCAAATCCATGGTAAAATAGAAATACGGATACACTCTATTTAAGTTAATATTATGTACAGGACCTCATGGTCCACAGATCCTTAAATTTATGTTTAATGGGCATTACTGGACATACAGTTTGAGTTTACTGTCACCTTGTGGATATGATAAAAAAGTTGGCAGGAAGAGTAACCAAACTGTTGCTCTGCAGGAATAATTCCTGCAATGGAATGTGCCGGATGACTGCAGGTAGTGTTTGTAGCTGATTGTAACTCAGCTGCAGGGTCTGCAGGGAGCTTAGTTCACTGCAGAATAGATGCTTGGGTAATGCTTGTAACTTGTTGTGACTTGCAAACAAGGCTCGCAGTTGGAAGCAGCCTGCAGTCCAGTCTGGTAGCGACTCCAATTCATTGCTGCGTAACAAATTGTTTTGATTAGATAAAAGGTGTTTGTCCCTGTTAAATCTTTAGCAGACAGTTATGCACATCAAGGCTTCGTTTATTTCTCATTTTAACATATTCTGATATGGCACAGATGTACATGTCTCTCTTTCAGTATTTAAATTTTCATTTCTGTCATAATGAGCTGAAGTACCTAATATTAGCAGTAGTACAGAGGGTTTTTTCTTTTAACTTTGTTGACCGGTTCATGGCTCTATGTTTCTCAGTGACTGGTGCACCACCGACTGCAAGGCTCATAGAGATTTTGCTGGTGAATCAGCATGCCTGATGGTCAGTAACTTTTGGAATGAAAGGACATAATTAACTTGTGGACTGTTTGTCAGCATTATGTTTCATGACAAGCAGTGTGGTTCATGCATGAGTGTTTATGGTTTGTCAGCGGTAGGCAGCAGTTATCAGCTCCATTAGTCATTTGTTCTCAGTTACAGTTAATGAGCAGTGTGATACATCATGGTGCAGTATAGTTTAGAGTAATGTGTATTTTTGTATGATGCCTACGTGAAATAGAGATCTGCTAGAAAGTGTCAGCAAAAATGTTGATGTCAATTTCATGATGAACGAGTTCCCAGCAGACAGACAGTTCACAATTTGGTGAATAAACTGAAAATAATGGGACTCTTAATACACCAGAAACAAAAACATAAGCACTGGGTGCTTACTGAGAAAAAGTTAGATGACATAGGAGCCAGGCTTGTACATTCACCTAGAAAACCACTGAAACGTCTAGGTCAAGAGGTTGGAGTGTCAGAGGGAGTGCAAGAAGGGCAACACAACTGCTGAAGCTTAGACCCTATAAAACAACAGTAATCCACATAGGCCTCTTAGCCTCATGATCCAGCTAGCAAGGTTCATATTTTCAGTTGATTTCTATGGTCTGTGGTTGAAGGTGATATTGATATTCTTTCTGTTGAAATGTGGTTTTACTTGCAGGGATACATAATACACAGAATAATCACTACTGGAGTTCACAAAACCCACATCTAACCCACGAAGTTCTGCTCCATCCAGTGAAAGTTGGTGTCTGGTGTGCTGTAAGTGCAAGAAGGATTGTTGTACCTGTGTTTTCTTTTTTGTGTGTATGAAAAGAGCTAATTTTGAAGGATATCTGCATGCAGAGGGACAGTATTTTATTTATGAATTGTAACAACTGCATTCTGAACATTATTGGTCATCAGGCATGCTGATTCATCACAAAATTCATATGTTCCTCATGGCAAGTGGCACCCTGCTCACCGTGAAGTGCAGAGCTGTGGAACCAGTCAACAAAGCAAAAACGCACAACAGCAGGCAGAGGAGGCAGAGGAAGCTGAGGACGAGATGGAGGAAGAATAAGAGTGCTGAAGAAGAAGAAATTAAAAATCCTTTCTTATTATACCTCCATACTTTATTTTACATGAAAGTTAGAGCTTGCTTATGCCTGGTTCCTTGTGTGTTAAAGATTCTTATATAAATGAAAATAAATGAAGTAGTCTCATAGTTTAATTACTTATGATGAAAATCTATTTTCATTATGATCACATTAATAATGAGGCATCAGAGATTAAGTTTACCTATAGAATAGCAAAGAAACCTACTCAGCAATGCACAATTACTAAATAATGATAAACAATCGAAATTGTACATGATTGTGTGCTAAACATTCTTGCATGGAGGCTTATGCACTGAGAAAATGAATAAAATTAATCTGCTGTAATTAAATTCTTCTCATTAATTATTTACTGGCAACAAGAATGTTTCAGGAAGTTTTGTAGAATTCATTTAAGTAGCTCATTGTGAGATGCAGGTCTATCAATAGAGTGACAGGCTGTGGGCTGGAGAACAAGTGTTTTATATCTGGCAGGGGCTGGAGATTTTTCTCTTCACACTGTGTTCAGACCAGCTGTGGGTAATATCCAGCCTCCTGTGCTGGAACTCTTTTCTCTGTGTTATAAGTGACTGGAGTGTGAAGCTGACCACTTGCTTCTGTATAATGCTGAGATTATGATAGCATGAAACTATACCTTCACTACCCCAAACATCTTCATAGCATTTTTAATTCTTGACATGCAAATAATCACTCAACTGACCAATACATTCCTCATCTTTTATTGAACTCAGAGGTTCATTACTATGTTCACAAGAGCCTGCCACTGGTCCCTGTCCTGAACCAGATCGTTCTAGAGAATGTTACACTGTGTTTATTTTAAGGCCAGTCTTAATATCATTCTCCCATCTATGTCTAGATTGCCTAAGTGGCTTCCTCCTTTCAAGTTCACTGTGATCTGTATGGCAGCAGTAATGACTGAGCAAATTAATACAATGGCAGAAGTTTATTAAGTAAAAAAAGAAAGATAATGATTCACATTATATCTCAGGATTTAAGATAACTATTATGATGCTTTCATGTATGTTAAATATAGTGAAATTCATGTGTAAACCTCAATTTCGAGCAACAAATGAGTAATTGATTAACATATGTATATGTTACATTGTGATAATTTTACTTTGAATGTACATTTGAAGTTATAAATCTTGAAGAATTTTTAAAAACTGACTTGTCCAATTGTACATAATGTAACACTTATGGATGTTAAATAAATCAATCAATCAAGTAATGGTTAAAAGTTATTGTATGATATTATGATATCTGTAGCAGCATTTGACTAATCATGGGACATTTTATTCATTAGGCTTCGAAGAATAGCATATATATATATATATATATATATATTGTAATGTGTTTACTCTGTGACTGCTTCTATGTTTCAACTGACTTATGACGTCTTTCACGTTCACAATTCACTCGCTACAACTGAACCCGGCGACTGATATACTTCAACTGTCTTTGGTGGCCGCTACATTTTAACTCACTCCTTACGCATTCCAGTCTCCCTTATAAACCCCCAGTCGTACAGCGGAAAACCCACATCACTTCTTGGTTGCATAAACATTTATTTCATTCAGAAATGGCGAATTTTTTTTTTTTTGCCATAACCTATAATTACAATGCAAATGGTTGTAACAGGTGTATTTGACAGAACAGCGGCTTGAAATTATGTGATATTGTCACTTTATTCTCAAATAACAAAGGGAAGCGCCATCACTTATGGAATCTCTAAATTACCGTGGAAGCAGGCCATATGTTCATGTTTTTAACTACAAGAGAAATGAAACCCACTTTGACTTAGGCACAGTCAATATTTCAAACCACATTGTAAAAAATATTAACTGGTGATGACTGAAGTTGTGGTGTCCTAGATATAGATACTATCCCAGCAATTTCTTGAAGGGACTGAGGGAAACCATAAAAAATATCAGGCAGGATAGTTAGTGGCCCAGCTGAAATTCAAACCAGGCACCTCTAGTATACAAGTCAGAAGTGATACTGTTTGGGCCAACACGAACGCTACCAGGAAACAAGATGGGGGAAGGAATAAATAGCAAAAATAACATGGAACATACCCACCTTTGTGACAGCATTGCTGGCAAATCATAATTATCTCAAACAGTATTAATTTTATGTAGTTACTGGTATAAGGTTTTAATGGGGTTTTCAGAAATGCTACATTTAGATAACTTGTACTACTAACAAGTGAACTGATCAATGTTAAATGCTGTACTATGCCAGAAACACCAGGAATAACATATACAAAAAAATTTAAGAGTTTTGCAAACAATATAAAGCAGAATTTCTCTTATTAAAAAATTGTGTGTGAGTGAGAGAAAGAGAGAGAGAAGTGACTGAAGGACAATTGGTTATTTTCTTGATTCAGTGATTTTTATTTGTTAACCGCCATTCCCAATTATTAGGACTTCTGAAACAGATCTTAACTACATGCATCTTGTTCTGTCACAATATATAATATCTATTTAAAATGTATATATTCCTTCAGATTAGTCTCCATAGTTAATTACTTCAAGATATTAATAGTACACAAGTTATGGACTTTCTGGGGGTGTCTTTGGATCCATCCTTATCTTGGCAAGGACATATATCTAAAACAATAAAGAAATTAAATTCTGCTTGCTTTGCCATTAGGTCTCTGAAATCGTTACTATCTATTAATGATCTAAAAATGATATATTTTGCCTATGCTCACTCTATAATTGTATATGGAATTGCCTTTTGGGGAAATGCCACTAATAGCAAGGATGTCTTCATAGTGCAAAAAAGAATTATAAGGAGTATTATGAATGTAAATTCTAGAGCCTCTTGCCGGGGATTTTTTAAATATTTAAACATATTGCCTTTTTATTCTCAATATATACTTTCGCTTTTGCTTCTGGTGGTGAAAAATATGCATTTGTTTGCACTAAATGCTGAAATACATGTCATAAATACACGACAAAGTACCAGCTTACACGTGCCATTGATAAATTTGGCCAAATATAAGAATAGTGTGTGTTGTATGGGTATTAAAATATTTAATAATCTGCCACATAATTTAAGAAAATTATCGAGTGATTATAAAAAATTTAAGTTAGCTATAAATAATTTTCTCTTAAATCAATCATTTTATTCGATAAATGAATACTTGGAGTGGTCAAAAGAAAGGAAATAGAATACAGGTGAATATTTGTTTTATTTAGATACACTTATGTGTAGTAGTTTTTGTAGACTCTGTATAAATGTATGTATACTTTTATTATTAATTGCTTATAATGTCCGTATTTTAGTTATTATTGATTTATTATACTAAGCATTGACTAAGTTGTATTATTGCAACTGTTTTATTATAGTATATTTTACTATTTGGGACTGCTTCTACAACTGTGGTGATTGTGTCGCCTGTACGTTTTTCTTGAAGCAATAAAGATATTATTATTATTATTATTATTATTATTATTATTATTATTATTTAATACTAGTGGTTTGATTCCATATATTCCACTTGTGAGCAGTGTTTTTGTATCCATAAGACATGAGACTAATTTCTGTAGCACACTCCAAACATCAAACTGGAAAACCACTTAAACACACGATGTCCTACAGATACAAACGCAACGATCCTCACAGCTGGAGCTTACTTAATTAAACTAGTATTATATCTCGATGTAATTAACTTTTAATTCATTAAAAAGTTTATCTTTCACTAATTTAAAGATATAACAGCTTATACAGATATATGTGTAGGAACATCCCACATACTAACACGCACTTACGCTGGTCTAACAGACAGCACTCAACTCCTAGTCAATATTACATTGCCGCCAGCACTCGTATTTATGTAGCACTCGCTGTCCAGCCCACATTTACATCATCGCGTGTGCTAGCCAATCAGCGTTCACAATCGCAACTGCAACTGTAGCTCCACCCAGCAAGCATGGTATAAAAGGCGAAGCCCAAAACTAGCAATCATCAGTGATCACATTCAGTCATCAGAGTCATCAGCTCTTCACTGTTCCAAAGACAGCTGCCAGCAACCACGCTCTGCTACCAGACAGCTAACATAGCTGCCACAACTCTCCAGCAACCATGCTCTGCTACCAGACAGCTAACGTAGCTGCCGCAGCTCTCCAGCAATGGAGCCAAGACAACAGCTCAGTCATCACCCACACCGTAGGCAGCTGTTCCTACCAGCACACGCAGCACCAAATCACCGGCTGGACAAACCAGCTGAATGGCCGTAAAGACTTGGTCTACTACAAAGGAGCAAATTCTGCCAGCGCACGAATGGTGGAACAAACTGCCCTTTTCAGGGCCAGCCAACTTTTGAACATCGACATTCCACATAGCTTCATATCTATTCTGTACATTCAATTTATACAATTTAATATATACAATTGTTACAGTTTTACATGGTGACAATCCCACATATGTATTGCAGATGTGTACAGTGTTTCCAATTAATGTCGATGAAACCCCTGGTCAAGACGGGCCAAAACATATGAGTCACTTCTGAAGGAATATATACCTCTTACATACTTCTGAAGCAATGTGAAAGGGCTTGTTTTAAAGTATTTCAAGTTGATGTTCTGGCTGATATGCAAACGAGATCCTGAATAAAAATCAGAGGCATTACTATTTGAGCCAGCCTATAACTATGTTGGATGCATGCACATGAATGCAAAGCCTCCCAAATGACTTAGAATCTGTTCAAAATTGATACAGGAGCGAAGTTCCAACGTATGTGAGTCACAAATTTTATTATTTATTTATATGTCAGGAAATAAATAAATCAGGATTTAATAAAATTCTGATTACTAATAAATTAATGAACCTAATTTAGCAACTTTTTGGTACTCATAATGAGCTACTTAAAAATGAAGGATACTTACTATGAGACATCAAGATGCTTGAGATGTGTGGGCGGTGGACTTACGTGTAGTTTCTGTAATCCTGTCAACAGAGAGACAACACAGCACAAACATGAGAAGCTGGAAAACACATAAACATATACAGAGTGTCCCAGGAGGAAAGGTCTGTATTCTTGGAGGTCATAGTATCAGTCATTCTAAGCAAAAAAAAATGTATATACATACATGTCCTAGGCCAAATGGTTTCCAAGATAGAGTTATTTCACTGTGCAGTTCCCAAATTGTTGATAAGGAAGAGATATTACATACTGTTTCTAATACCGGTATTTATTGTTTAAGTGATAAAGTTGGTACAGTTTACCTAATGTAATACATTTTCAAAAATTTCAATATCAGTGCACTTTGCAATGCATGAGGGAACATGGCATGTTGCTCATTTTAGTACATCTTGATGTCCTACCATAATACTGTACAGTGAAATAGCTTTATCTTGGAAACCATCTGGAATAGGACACATGTATATATACACCTTTGCTCAGAATGACCGATATTATGACCTCCCTGCATATTGAACTTTCCTCCTGGGACATCCTGTGTATGTGTATAGCAAAACCTAACTTGCAATGAAATATAATCTTAATATTTTTCTATTTCAGAGAAATTTCTTTTTAATATAGGTACTTACATTTAGATAAAGGGAAATATTTCACACTTCCTACCCTATGTATTTTTGATCTAAATCACAAAGTTGAAATTCATACTACACATGTGTAAGTCATTTACTATGTCTCCCTGACATACCTTAGCACTGCCAGCATTTACTGTGAAAGTGACATTGCTAACATATCAAATTTTCAATTGCTGTCTCTTGTTCCTCTTCATCATAATTGTGAATTTTTATTAAAGCAAATATAAAGAAAATACAAAGTGATTAAAAAAATACAAAATAATTACATAGTCATAAAAGATTTGTTAGGTAATTACAGTCTTCTAGGCTATGACACCATGTAATTTTGTATGTAGGTATAAGCTTTTCAAAGGAACCTGATGCCATAATATAGTGGCATACTTTTTTCCCGCACAGTAGGTTCGTATGAACACTGGAACCTGTCTATTATACTACACAGCATCACACCCAAGATGAATGTAATTTTACATAGTATATTGCCATGGGAGTAGTTTATTTTGACACTTCCCATTGCTTAAATATATCTTAAATAGGCTCTAAGGAAATGCATGTTGAAAATTAGATACAGAATCTGACATGTTCCATCTCTGATCATGGTTTCCACAAAGAAACCTTCTACTGATTCACAGTTACATACTGTAGCCCTTGAGGGACATTTTGAAATCACAGTCTCACTGCATATGCATGCCACAAACTTTGAAAGTTCTGGAAAGGTAGCTTGGAGAAATAAACATAATAGTACTTTATAGATAATTTTTTCTTAGGCAAAAGTTAACATTAAAATGACAAATGTACTGACATTTCTTGCTGTCAACTTCTAGTCCTATTGTAAATGACTGCAATTGGTTCTGCATTTGGTGCCTATGGAGGTGACATAATAAGAAGTTGTAAATATTAAGAAGTAATCGAACAATTCTAATGCTGTTCTTCTCTCTTGTCCCATTTTGCTATTGCTCTCTGTTTTTTCCATATTGTGCTAAAAAGTAAAGAGGCCTCGGGTCTGTTCTAATTTCCACCTGTCTGTCATTTAGTCTCTCTCTCTCCTAGGATGTTATATTTGCTCTGCTTGGGGGTCATAATAACACCAATCCCTTAAGTGAATCAGTCCATTGTTGCCCATTGTAATTCACCAGGTTATAAGAAAAGGAATACCGAAGATTTAAAGGACTATATTCCATAAAATAATTGACTATAAAAATACCTTCCAACGTAACTGCTCTTTGTTTCTTAGCAAATAATTGGATGACATTCAGTTTCCATCCATATTCCTCTCTCTCTCTCTCTTTTTTTCTTTGGCTCTCCTCACATAAAATAAGAACACAGTTATCAGGAAAATTTGGAAATTTATATATTTCCTCAAACTTGTGACATTGTACTTGAAATTATAATGCTAGTTATTATTCCAACAAAATGTTTTATCTCTGCATAAACGATCAAGAATCCTTGAATGAAAACTTTAGAACACTCGATTTGAAATAATTACTCACCTATGTCGCCCTTCAAACATCCTGTCTGATCCTGCTGTACATTAAGAACATTTCCTACTTGACTGAAATCTATGAATTAAAATTTCTGCAGTCATTATAACTCTTACTTAAGATATGCAGAGATAAGTATTGGGACACAATGAAAGTGGATTTTGGATGTTTGCCAAGTTATGACTGGCACTTACACTAAAGCCTGTTAGAATGTTTTGTCAAATTATAGGATGAAGTTTTCACATTTATTTTTAAATATAATTGTAGCAAACCAAATTATTTCTCTTCAGAATGTAGGCATTCATCCTCTTTTACCCAGTATGTCCATCTTCTCTATAATGATGTTTACATGTTATCAAGAAATGTACATGCTTTTGTTGGTCCTGTGACACACATACACTTGTGTGAAATCAAAAGAGCCTTTTGTCTATCCTTGAAAGAAGGAAGGAGAAGAAGAAGATAAAACAATGCTGGGATACTCACTATTATTTCCAGCAATAAGTGAAGTGAGTGCCTTGCCATTGAGTGAAAGTTCAATCAGCTGGTTTCTGGAGCACTGAACACATTCCAGCTTATTGAGTGCACTGAGGTCAAGTGTCTCTATGCTGTTCTCACTCACATCCAGTTGTGTCAGATTCTGAACATAACAAAATTTTTGTCAACTGTGATTCCAAGTAACAAAGTTACAGAGTAATTACCAGTGACAAACTAGATGATTAGACACAGCAAAATCTAACCCAAAACCTTCTGGAGCAGCACTGTGTATTTGGTTACTTTTAAATGCTGTATCAGTTGATGTTATTGTGTGTGTGTTTGTGTGTACAGATGCATGAGCATGTAAGTGGGTTTGCAGGTGCCTCAGCCTGTGTGGCAATTTGCATCTGTGAAAATTGAAATCAGAAAAATTCCTTGAGAAGCTTGGAATATTGTTAAGTAAATGTGTGCATATGTCAGACTATGTAGCAGTCTACTAATCAATATCATGTCAAATGAGTTATGGGAAATTAGTTGCAAATGACAAACTTAAAGGAATGGGACAGGAAGCAGACATAGCCTTTCTTAAACTAACCCCTGGTATTTGCCTATAAGAACCAAGAAAGTCATAAATCATTTTCCAACAGATAAACCAGTGAAGGTAGACAGTAGAGATCTGTTACAATCAAGTTGGCAAGTTGCAGAATTTAATGAAATAAGTACACATTATTTTCATATTTTTGAAAAAGCCATTTGCTTTTCACAACACAGTATTTGTGCACAAACTGCTGATTGGCATGGCTGTCCTGGATTCAGTACCTGATCTCATGAAGTAAAACAGGCACCACATAACTTGTATAGCAGTTTCATTCTGTTGATATTTTGAAACCTGAATCTATGCAGTAATATTTCTCTTGCAACATAAGGCAGTCAGAGTGGTGCTGAACCGCACAAATGAAAATTCATGTGGGTTATTTCAGTAATGTAATAAACCATAATTATTCAAATGCTATTTTAGAATTTATATTGAGTAACAGTACACTAAGATAAAAAATATTTAATACTGCTATTCTGGATTGATACTCTAATCTTCATAAGATCTCTCCAGACTTAAGGAAAAAAAGAAAGAGACAATTTTCCTCAATTTCTTGTTGTCTCTCCCTTCTTAATTACCTGCTTTTATTGTATTTTCCTTATGAGATCACCATGCTATTTGTTATGTTCCCATTTCAACTTTTGAACCAGTTGACCAATTGTCACAAAATTTGGTGTGAATATTGGATACCACCAGAATCTCATAATATTTAATTTTCTACATCCGGTAATAACAATATGTCTGCTGCACAATTTTGTGAGGAGGTAGCAACCCTAGTTCCACATAGTATGGGGGCTGGAAATGGAGCATGGTAATAGTGCTTGGAAAAATACATGCCTTCCGTTCATGTAATATTTTGTTGCATACAAAAGACAAAAACATGGCTGCATGATATCTGCATTTAGCTTTTGGTTTCATTGCAACAACTGATGATTTGTTGGCAATTTGGTATGGGGATCATAAACATACCTACAAAGTCTGAATGAGTTGTTCAATGTCAACAATTACAAATGATTCGATAGTGTGAAGTTTTAAAGTAACACCTGGCAAAATTAACGAAGACGAAATCTGTACTTGAGTTCAGAGATGATGACATCGATGATTATAACACCAACAATCATCAGCAGCAGCAGACGAGTGAAGCACGCTAATCCATAAGATAAATTTAATTTTGATGTAACGGTATTATATCGTAGAAGATAATAATATTCTTAGTCAACACCATGAGAACTTCAAAACCTGAACATTTTAAGTTAATTACAGCTCTGTTCAGTTGCACCGGATATGGAATAAATGGTGAACAGAAAGGAAATTTGAAAGAATCTGTCTACTCTATTGCAAGTACTCTTCCAGTATCTGGCTGGAGAAAGCGAAGGAAAAATTGAAAGAAGAAAAATAACTTAATCTGGGTGCCCGGTAACCCGGTTGAAAATTAAACCGCGGTGTTCCTAAGTTCATAGAGTTACAGTTTCACCAAACTGACAGGTAGTCAGAACACGAAAGTATCCTTAAGAAGGCAGAATAAATTATAACTCAACATTACCTGAAATGGACTTCCGTCAATTCTGACTTTGAGAAGATCTTCAGATGTGTTAAGCCGAAGATGGAGACGTGAGGGTATCTTATCTGGACGTAATTTGGGCAGAACATCTTCATATTTCTTAACTACAGCATGAAACCGTGGGCTTGACACATCGTGTTTAATGTTGCAGTTTAGAGAATTAGACGAATTAAACTTCACGTTATGGCGATGTGTTTTTGATAATCTTGTCTTCAAGTTGCTGTGATCGTAATGTGACAAATTCTCGTGCAGAAAAATAGGTAAATTGACCATATTATGGCACTGATAATTTGCAAGTTTAGTCTTCGAAAGCGCGCACAAATTATTCTGTGAATTCCTCTTCAAGTTGAGGTGTAATGCTCGACGATTCTTCAGATGCTGAACGAACGGCCGACTTTGCGACCTGCTCGTTTGGCCGCTGGTGTCCATAATATATGATGATTTCCTTGCTCTAGACAGCAGCAGAGTGGCCAAACGAAATTAAAATGACACCTTGCATTTTTTTAGTCACGTTCGAATTTGATATGAGAGGAATTAGACGATTGTGCATGTAGTTTTGTATGCGTCCAAAACTTGGTTTCTGATAATAAAGAAAGGATATAGACTGGGGCATTTGAGAACAAGGTGCTGAGGAGAATATTTTAACTCAGGGGGAAATGAATAATGGAAGACTGGAGAAAATTGCATAATGAGGGACTTCATAATTTGTGCTCTTCACCAAATATAATTAGAATGATGATATCAAGAAGAATGAGATGGACAGAGCATGTAGCACGCTTGGGAGAAGAGTAATGCATACGGAGTTTGGTGGGAAATCCTGAAGGAAATAGATCATTACGAAGACCTAGACGTAGATGGGAGGATGATATTTAAATGGACAGAACGGGGTTGTACGAACTGGACTGATCTGGCTGAGGATAGAGACCAATTTTAGGCACCTATGAACATGTCAATGAACCTTCGGGTTCCATATAGTATTGAGAAATTCTTGAGTAGCTAAGCGACTGTTGGCTTCTGGAGTAGGAGTCAGCTCCATGGAGTTAGATACATAATTTGTCAGAGGAATCAGATGGTCAGAATGTTTGCTAGATATATAGGTCATATGAATGAAACTTCAACAAAACTTTTGAATTTGATGGATTCCTTTCCTCAGAGTTGTGTCCAGTGGTTGTCTCTGGTGGCAGTGTTCATGAACTTTCGGACATACTGCCAAAGATAATTAATTTAGTTTCAGCGACAAAGTTCATGTTCTTAGGAACAGGCTCTTTCTTCATTCTGGGGCTCCTCGTGAAAGAAATACTGATAGTGATCACCGAATATTTCTGTTGTGTTGACTCATAACCGGCTAGCTAATTAAATAATTCTATGGAACACGTTTATTCTAAGGACTCTGACAATCACTAGCCTAGCTGGCCAACACATTACCTGCTACATTTCTTGAACACTGAAGTTTCATTACATAGTTCACAGGGGTCTGCCACAAACTGCTCTGAGCCACTTGCATCCAGTAAAAAGGTTCACGCCACATTTCTTTAAGATCTACTTCAGTATGATTCATCAATGTTTAGGTCTTCCAAGTGGTCTCTTACCTTCATGCTTCTCGATTAAAACTTCATCCGCATTTCTCATTTCCTCCACGTATGCTGCGACTTCCGCCTGTCTCATCTTTCGTGATTTTATTGCCGTAATGATGTGTGAAACTCGTAGAAGACATGAGAAACGCATATAAAATTGAACAGAATATGAAGCGAAAAAACTAGTCGGAAGGCGCAGGTGTATGTGAGATAATATGAAAATAGATCCCAAAGAAATAGGCTGCGAGGATGTAAACGAAAATGAATTGGCTAAGAATTGGGTCCGGTGATGAGATCTTATGAACGCGGTAATGAATCTGAGTTGTATGAAAGACAGAGAGTCCTTTGACAAACTGAGTAACTGAACTTTTCAAGGAGGACTCCACTCCGTGGGGTTAGTTGTTTAGTTGGTTAGTACAAAACATGAAGCTCCTCATTATGTCACTTTTACCATCCACTATGTCCACATATTCTCCTCACCACTTCCATCTCAAAGCATATATATTCTTCCCTCAGAATTCATTTCCGTATAAAACAGACGAAACTGCAGTTTAATTTTTAGACATTAGGCAGTTAGCTTTATATGAATGTATGTATGTATGTATGTATGTTAGGGGTGAGCCATAGACACCGGCCCTCGCACTGCGACCGTCAATGATCTATTATGCTTCCCCTTTGGATTAACCCTTTATTAATCCTACACTTCGAATGAAATGTAGGACTTTATTTATGGGGGCGTCATAAAAGTCACTTGGTTCCATGAAGAACTGACCCAGGTGACGAAATCTTAAGTAAGCTATGGCCTCACAATCACATAGGGTGTGTGTGGCTGATTCGTCTTCTTGTAGGCATCTTTCACAGTTTGGGTTATCTGTCAGTCCCAGTTTGAAAAGATGTCCNTGAAGTGTCCAGTAAGTAATCCTGCCACCCATCTTAATTGATCTATGTTTAATTTCAACAGGTCCTTCGTTCTTCTGACAGAGGATCCTGCTATAAATCCCTTTGCCTGTTTGAGTCCAATTGTGGATTCCCTGAGGCAGTTAGGCTTACTGTTAACCATATTTATCAGTTAAACATTTCTTGCAGAAAATTAACTTCTTCTCTGATTTTCTTTGAATACCTCATTGTGCGTCCAATAACTTTGGACGCTTTAGAAATGCAACGGGAACTCTAAAGGTGGACATTCGCAGTTTTCGTCTTATTCAGCAATAATGTTGACCGAGTGATAATTTCTGGAATTTGATTGCAATTGAGAAGTGCTGATCTATATTTTAAAAGATAAAACCATAAGTTTGAAAGGTGATATTTAAAGATTAATTCTGGGATCTGAATACTTTTCTTTTCAACATTACTGACACAAGCTTTCTATAATTATAGGATACTAACAGTTTTCTGTTTTGGAAGTTGGCCCTAGTTGTAATCCACCGGCGCAC